TCTCTGACACGTTGAAAGTCTGATTTAATTAAATTGCACTTTAACTTGGTGCCACGCAGTCTTCAAAGAACATTTGAGCAGTTTTCATACTTTTTACCTGAAAAAATATCGGACTGAATGAATGTCATCAAATAAAACTATTAAACGGCTACTGCAGAGGCGTAAAAACCGTCCAGAAATGAAAGCTTCTTTTTTGTTTAATATCCCGAAAACAATAGCCGATAACTTGTCAGCTCTAATTGAATTTACTTCCATATAAAAAACAAAAGTGTTAAGTTACCATTTGTAACTTTAGAAAATATCTTGTGGGAAAGAGTGGTGACGATTCGTCAGCTCTAATTGAATTTACTCCCTTGTGAAAAACAACAAGAAATTTGATTGGCTGTTTATAGCAGATCCAATCTGATTGGTGTGACATAAATACATCTCTCACTCACTCACTCACTCACTCATCCATTGACCCATCCATAACATACCCCGAAGCGCCGACTAAGAGGTATTTTTTTGACAAAAAAAAACTCAAAAATGGATTTATATTTTACCCTTGAATGTCACAACCGTGAAGATCTGTTAAGTACGTACGCCTATCGCTCTAAAAACTTGCTCAGGCTGAATATGAAATGACAGCGTTTAATTCCAAAGGAAGGTACGAAAAGTTAGCCATTGCGGTTCATGTTTTCCAAACTACGTAGAATTTGGTCATTTCACGTTGTTGTTTGCAGATGACGGGTAAGAAATATACCAAGATTCAAAACGCACGTGCAGAACAATTGCTCTGGTCATTAAACCTTTTTTTTGATTCCGTTCTCGTTGGCGTCGCCGTCGTGGTATGCTAAAGCTCTTTATTGTCTCGGTTTATAGATGACGTAAAGACAAGCGCAAACTATCAGTTGTAACCCAAGCACAATGAAATTTTTCTATTCCTTCAGCGCTATGTTCGCATGTATGAACGGGATCCTGTTCAAACAACCTGCACAGTGAACTATTTTTAGCGCACCTTGAATTCCTTTCAAATCGGGAGAGAGTCCTGGGGACGAAGCTAAGGAGCAATTGGGCCGAAACCAATGGTACATACAACAGCTGCGCAAAGAATTCGTTTTTACAACGTAACATATAAGCTTACTTGCTCTCTTGGTACGGTTTTGTTTAGGGTGGAAATCACACCATACCCTGGACTGTGCAGAACTCTGAAAATCCTATTTCTATATCCAGTTAACACTTTCAATTATGGCTTACGTTTCATTCTTTGTTGTTGGACGAGTCTCTTTTCTTAAGGGTGAAATTACACTTTACTAGAAATATAAACAGGCAGCTGAACAGGTCCGTACTTTACGCTTCGTTCTTCGTCAAAACGCCTAACACAAACCGGCGTTCGTGTATCACGTGGGCCGCTCAACTTGTCAATCAAATTTGGCGCAAAACCTTACAATGGTTTCCTATTCGTTGACCTTTCAAGGAATGAGGCGGACGGATTCTGACAAAACTAAATACAAAAAGAAAACGATTGCAAAGTCTGTTTTAATACATATCTTGAATTTTCTCTAAGATCGTCCCGAACACGAAACAAAAAGCAAAATGAACAAGCGCGGTCTCGCGTGTTCGCTTAGTTCACTCCAGTTTACTACAATAAAAGCAATTGTGGACAGACTAAAGATTGCAATGGGAAGTGAATGAATGCTAGCTCGTCGTAATCACTGTACATCTTCCAAGAGTCGAGCACAGTTGTGTCTACCTAAATTCTACATACATTCGTGACCTTAAAAACCTAGTTTTATTATCATTTTTTGTGACAGGGTTTGCGAGGCAAACAGCAAGCTATTCGTAACTACAAAGCCGTATTCGGTCAAGCTTAAACTGTCAACATCAAGCATACATTTTCGGATGCATGCATGCGCCGGCATGGAGTTCCTCTGCATGTGCTGTTACCATGGAAACAACAGACAGATCGAAGAAGTGCGGTCTCCAAGTAACGTCGTGTTTTTGAATGCGCAAAAAAATTTATAGAAATATTCTTTACCAATGGGTAAAGGAATTGCTATGGCACGCAAACAGCAAGATCCAGAATACACTCTGACATCTTAACTCTTTTAATTTACTCTTCTACTGCGTCCTTGGCTGTGGATTTTGTCCGCCAAGCTTGCAGAAATCAGGAGTGAAGGGGATACAGTTCAGGTACTCACAGCCATTGCACCCAGCATCTTGACTGATGTAAAACACCAAAAATCCTACAACATACAGCGTTATAACCAGCACAAAGCACACGATAATCTGAATCTGCTTCCTCCGCCGGTCGAACTCGCCAAATGACACGTAAGGAAGGAAGATGAAGGCGAGCAAAAACCCGAACAGGAAGCCTATCATGTGAGCAAAGTTGTCCACGTAAGGCAGCAGGCCTATTAACAAGAGCAGCAGAATTATTCCGCAGAGTTTGAACAGAGCTGTAAACGGCCTGGCTATGATCTGCCAACTCTGAAATAGCTCAACAAACAAGCAGGCGATCACACCAAACACGGACCCTGATGGACCAACCTGACGAATGTAAGTCACAAATTAAAAATAATTAACAAAGAAGACAAATCTAAAGCCACAGCAGTCCGAAACAGTCACTGAGGCAGCAAATACTGCAACAAACAAAAAATTCCTTTCATAACAACCCAACCACTATCCCCTCTCCCCTCTCTCAGACTAATCCTCAATAATTTACCGAACGAAAAAAACTCTTAACCAAGCTTTTCTTTTTTTCGTAATTTTACCGGCGGTATAAGAGATCAAGCCGGCAAAAAGGAAGCCCTTAACCTTCCTACAAAATACAGTATCAACGAGATAAAATACGAAACAATCTGTGCATCGGAAGCTTATACTAGTCGAAAGACGAAAACATAAATGTAAGTCCATGAAAGGGAAGGAGGAAAGAAAAGGGCTCTTGTTTAGCGTCTACGTCTTTTGTAAGAAACACAAAGAAGACCAGCGATTTTTATAAAGAAAAAAGGAAGCAAGAGTAAATTACCTCTGCTTGGTAAGGAAGGAGAATTGCACTGTACAGGTATCCACCAACACCACTAAAGATATAAATGATGGCCAGTCGTAGCCAGCCCGCCATCTTTTCAAGATCACGCATGATAGTGAAGTGAAAGATGAAGGTACAGGCCAGATGAATGATCCTGAAATAACAAACTCCATTGATTATTGAACACTTGATTCTCGTATTTAGATGAAAAAACTACAAAACAAAATGAAATGAGCGACAGGCGACACTCCCAGATTTTTGGTTAGTTAACTTGAAATTGTCAGTCTCTTCTCTCCCAAATTAAACGCCCTCGAGCCACTTTTCGGTTTTGAACCTAATTTTTTTTACAGTTTCAATTCATTTTCAAGCGGGCAAGTGTACAGAGTAAAAAAGATCACCAACTGTTGCCTCAATGGAATGCACCCTTTTTTTCGTGACTTTCAGTGGTTATATTTTTACCAATACGCTGACGTCTATGTACAGTTTTACAGTCCATCAATTACTTTCTCTCTCGTGCGATTGGTATAAGTTACCTCACGCTACCATAGCTTGCCAATATCCGATGAGGTTCATATTTACGCGCCAACCGAAGGCTATTGTTTATATAATTCTCGTTTATATATTGTACTATAATGTTGGTATACCCAGCATGAGCGAAAATTGCCATCCAAAGACGATACACTTGGTCTGGCTGTTCCTTGCGGTGGAAAGACAACATTCCACACGTTTGACTCAAGCAATCCACCTGGGAAAAGAAGAAACGTTCACCGCATTAGTTCGGAGTGTCAACTGTCTTCTCGGGCTTAACCCCCAGCCTGGGGTCCCCGGAAGACGGCTGACACTTCAGAATATCACTACACTGACTAAATTAATTCACTGCGTAAAAACACAACCATTCAAAAATTCCTTTCAGTTATTGGATCATGTGATTATTCAAGAATCAGAACCATTTCTAGACCCCCATGTTTGACGGTGTCACGTGTAGCAAGAGAAACTCGTAACTCCATTCCCTTTCCCATAGCCGTCTTTCGCTCTAAGCCAGCGGGGGACCTTGCACCAGGATAAGGTGGTTCTGGAGACACATTTGATAGGCTAGATTCTTGGACTAACATTTTCAGTATATCAGAGCTGGTCTCCTTGTCAAAACTATCTCCTAGTTGATCTCTAAACTAAAACCTTTCGACAATCAATTCACCTACAGACTTTCAGGGAGATTGAAATTGGCTTCGTTAAAATTTTATCTCTGTTTTTAATTCCCTTGTTAAAATTTGTCAAGTACTACAGGTGCTGTAATCGAACTGTCTTAGTCAGAGGTCAGCCAGTGGACATTTTCAGGAAGGAAACCAGCGTTAAGTTGGTGAAAATCCTGGTCCAAGAATCTAGCCAATCAAAGGTACGTTTTCCTCGCTCCAAGCCCCCGCCGGTTAAGATGGGGGGTGGCTCTGGGGAAGAGAATGGCACGCCTCAAGCTTAACACTTATGACACGTACTACAGCGATCCTCCAAGAAAACCATAAGGCCTCCTCTAAATGTTGCATACGTGTCTTCAAAAGTGTGTTAGCAATCCTTTCATGCACGTGCCGTAGACTCTTCGGCTAAGAGACTAGTGCTCAGTCTCCCCACCTTTCCTAGAGCGAAGCAAGCTACTCACCTGAGAACAAAGCGTGTAATTTTCATGGTACCTTCCGCCATAAAATTCACACTCGTCCTTGCTGACAATCTTACATATAGCCTCGTTGCCCATACAGCATGGGCGGCCGTGGATTTCACATGTCATGTGTGGGTATTCAGCCGGCGATAAGTTAGGTTTAGATTCTTTACAAACCTGCAATGAAAGATCTCCTCTTGTTATCTATTCCATGTTTGAGACAAAAGTAGCAGCCAAAGACAATTTGGCTCTTTTTTATATATATGTATATATCCAAGAAACAGCAAGCTACTAGTTCGCCATACAAGTTCACAGTAACTTAAACCCATTCAGTCTAAAAATAAAACCAAAAATCAATCCCAAAAATCTCTTAAGGCCTGAATTTTTCAATACTTCTGATCCCAGAGGTCTGGGTTTTTTTAACAAGCCGTTTCACGCACCGTTGGCTCAAAAACTGCAATCACGTGATGATGATTTTGCAATTCTTCACTGCAAAAAGTTCTGACTTATGATAGACTTGGTAACTGTGGAAAACAACCCGACAAACTAACATAATACTGTGACAGGCACTGGCGGGAAGGAGAGAGGCTTGATGAAATTCCAAGAGCTTTAACTGAAAATGCAATTGAACTCCACTCTCTGAACTCTAAAGGGACGCAACAAATAGTTAAAGATGGCGGGAAAACAAGATAACCTAAAGTGCATGACTGAAAATCATATCCAAGGGAAAAAGATTTGAGTTGAAACGTGAGTTCAAGAAAACTGAGTCCATGATAGCAAAGGTTTCATTGTGTGTATGATCATCAAATTCATCATCTCATGATCATTTAAAGAAAATCATCTCGCATGTCCTTCCCACAGCAAACTTGGTCAATACCCATAAATGACAAAGACACTTTAGATGAGCAATACTTACAGGCCATTTGGTGATGTCTGTAGAATCCCATTTATAGGGTTCCACTGAGGGAGGCTCTAAACACGTGCTATTCAACAAAAAACCAGCTTCAGTAATCAGGAATTTTTTCCGACTTAAGTTTACGAACAAGTCTAAGAAATTCAACAGATATGAACTATATCAATAAATGGTTAATTCATTGTCTGATGAAAAAATCAGATCTTGTTTTTCGCACAAATTTGTTCATGTGAATCGTAAACAAAATATGGAATTCAGGAGCCAAGTAACTAATTTGGTTGACAAGTAATTACAAAGGCTCTGGAATTCATGACAACAGATTTGGCAAGACATGATTTGTGTCTCGCTTGTGTTATTTGCTGGCCTCTGTTTAAAGTGGTCTGAGTTCAAGCTTAGTCCTAGCTGGGTTACTGTGTTGAAACACTTAACTCTCACAGCGCCTCTCGAGATGCAGCCGGAAGTAAAAATGAGCTCCGCCACGGTAAATGCTGGGGGTAACCCTGCGATAGACTAGCTTTTAGGGAGAGAGATGGAAATACTCTGGAGAAAAGCGTGCCCATTTGACAGGCCAGGAGGAGTGAGTATAAACATATTTTTGAATACTCACTCTGGGTCTTGTCCACAAACAACTCTTGTATTGTTATCCTTTTTGGAATACTTGTAGAAGTAAGCGAATGCTGTCTGCAAATAAAAACCAAATTATCCGTGAATTAGAATCCAGCTACTAATCAGATGAGGCCAGGTTTACTGAAGTACTCATTTGCGTTGAGATTACTGATTTGAAAGAAATCAGACGGTGCACAAAGGGGTTTATGTTTGGTGACCATGACTCACTGAACACTCTTTCTCTGACGTCTGGATGCATCCTGAGTCGTCTGATTTAACACAACAACCTGTGTCACTTTCAAATTTCTTGTCTTCTGCCAGCAGTTCTTTCAGTCGCTTATCACTGCGCATGCATGGAGCAAACTTAGCCCCCATTTTGATCAAACCCGCCTGAAAAACAAAACAAAACAAAACAAAACATATTAATAATGTTCAGCACAAGTTCATCAAGTTGTCGTTTTGAAATCACATACATGAAAGAAATAGAAAAATTAAAGGTGCTACGCACACACTGCAATGTGGCATTTTTTAGGTTTTTATTTTCTTTGTAATCTAAACCATCTGTATTTCTTTTAGCATTGTTACCTGTGAGTTACACCTCAGTACAGAATTTCATTCTGAGCAGTCTTTACACAGTCATTTTTGAAGGGAATTTTGTACATTATCACAAAAGATGATGTAACAGAGCAAATCAGTATATCTTTCCTTCTATTATATTTTGCTTCTGATTTGGCCTATTAAAACATATGACTGACTAACAGATGGGAATGATCACTACTATGTTCAAAATTTCAACATTCTTACTTGATCAGGACCAATCCAGAAGTTGTCAGGTACTGCCCGTGCCACAAACGTAGGAATAAGTGTTCCTTTTTGACTTTTATCAATCTACAATCAAAGCCAAAGGGAAGGCTTTCAATGATAACGAGAGCACAATAACAATTATTGCTATGCCATTTATGTTAAACTGGTGATATTTAAGTTGAACCATCAACCTAAATGAGCTTTGTGTTATCAATTCTTTCCTCTACTTGAGGATATCTAAAGTTTAACCAACAAAATTCCAAAGTGATGAATAGTGATTTAATGTCTGGGATTGGTTGCTATTTAATACACAAGAAAACCAAGTGACGTAAATACTAGAGAGACCCACCATGGATCTCTGTTGTGCTACATAATCAGCATGGAAAAGATGTTTTGGACAAATCTCGAAAGAATCTCTTCCAGTGGAACAATAATGTTATTACACCTGTAAAGGGAGAGGTCTGTCTTTCTTCTCAGTCACCACAGATAAAAGATCAGGGTTTTTTTGCAACCCCAGCCCTTAAGGGATGTTTTACAAAACAGAATAGCCTTGCATTTCAGAACTGTAGCAGATTAAAATACGTTTGGCAGACATTTTTTAACCAATGGATCAATAGTTACCACATTGATATTAACTTTCATCAGTGCATCAAATCTTGAAAACTAGTAATATAATCTACTGGGGAAATTTTTAATTTGTTATGCCTTTTGGTCTTTGCTGAAGTGAAACCCAGGTATAATTTGCACATTTCACAGTGTGAAGAGGTTGTACTTGGAGGTACCGTGAAAGTAAATTGTATTGCTCAANGCTGCCAATAGTGGAAGCTCCTGGATATCACAGGCACCCAGCCTCCATTTTGCGATGCAGTTGTTAATCAGAGTACACTACAGAAATCAACTAATGTATAATTACCAACTCTTCTTTTATTGTCTCTGTGAAACCAATGGGCGCAAATCCATGTACGGCCAAGCCCACGATAAGTACAATTAATTGTACAAAAGAAATCCAATACGTAAAGAAAGGTCTGAAAGAAAACAAAAATATTTTAAATATCTCACTACATGCCATAGAGCAGTTTTCACTTGTCTATGAGTATCAAATGAATGGTAATTCACATCAGTTGTGCTATTGCATCAGGCCCCAGTTGTTCGAAGGCTGGATAACCTATCCACTAGGTTAATCACTATACAGTGGATAAGTGCTGACAAAACAAACCACAAATGCACAATCCACAGTATAGTGATTTATCAGGTGAATAGCATTATAGGGGGATTCATGCTGACGTCATTGTTTACATTTTTGCTCATTTGCATACAGCTTTGTGTATGGAAGGAAACATGTTAGATATGAATTGACTCCAGGGAGCTAAAGAGCTGGTGAAACTTAAAACATGGTGAAATTTTTAGCTCTTTGGGTCTAATATTCAAGGAGATATTGTCTTTCAAAAACTGCAAAATTTCTGGGTGGCAAAAGCGCTAATGAGCTCACACATTCTTTGTAAAATTTTGAGTTTTTAAACCTGTGTTGCACAAAAAGTATTCAAATATACATCAGGCTCATACTCATTGGCAGAGTTAATCGTACTATGACCTTTCAATATTCAGAACTGATTTATTTGTACCTCCAACAGAAACTGAATTGCTTATGCTAATGAGGCAAATATTGTAAACAAGGATCTGGGCCAGGACATTAAGAGTACTGACTTAAAAGACTCCAAACCAATAGTTATTGTGACTTGTGTGCACAGGTTTCCCATGCTTCATGATAATAACTGTGATAAATAATAATAATAATCATAATATACATGAAAAAATTACTTGATTCTGATTGGCTGAGAGCAGTGCAGTTCAAGTGTAACACCAGTGCAAATTACACATCATAATTCTGGATTATGATTGGCTGAAAAAAAATGGGAAATTTTCAAAGCCAATGGTATTACGTAAAATGATGAGGAAAATTTTGTGCGGAAACTTTGAAAAAAGTTTTCTTGATTAATGAGAAAAAATGGCTTCAAGAAAGGTCTTCCGGCACTTTCTCCACGCAAATTTTTTCATGCTTATATTATTAATAAGTAATCATATGGTTTTTCTCGTTCAATTTGGAATTAATTTGCACTTGTAAGTTTTTCAAAAAGCTCAAATTGCACTCACTGAAGCGGCTTGTGCAATTTCAGCTTTTTGAAAAACTCACTCGTACAAATTAATTCCAAATTGAACTCGAAACCATATGATTACTAATAATAATAACAATAATAATAATAATAATAATAATAATGATAAATTATCCCATCCTTCATGACAGTTATTAAATGATAATAACTTCATTCTGCTAGATGTATTGCCTCCAGTTATGATTGGTTCACTGTCATTCACTGGATTGTCTGCATCCTTTCTGATTGACCAGAGTGATAACTTTGGTTTTTGTTATGGTTTTACAAAAATTGAATTGCAAACCACTCTTATACTATTGTCTGATGAATATGATAGCGAGAAAACACGTTTTGTAGTTAATTTTTGATCTCAATCAATTTTTACTTTTTTTTTTTTATTTTGAGTTAGTTATCGGTTTTTTTCAAATTTATCCCTAGTCAAAGATAACTACTGATTAGGGATAAACGCAAAAAAAGTTAACTAAACTTATTACAAAAGTTAAGAACTGACAAACAATGCTTGTCAAGCATTTCTACTGGCAATGAGGCAATGAAGTCAAATGTCTTCTCTTCAGTTTTCCAAATTCTCAACCATTAGCAACACAAGAATACAATTAGGCTTCACAAATTTGCACAAAAGCAAACCTTGGTTAGCAGCAATTCCTTGGTTGTAAAAGATGAATGATGAAAAGAATGAGGTGTACAGCAAATGCTAGTGTTACTGTATTGTGCTACTGATGATAACCAATGAAAATGTTGTGCAACCAGCCAAATTCTCACATGCCTGTAACCAATCTATCTATCTTCTCAATTAGAAGAATAAACTCTTCAGTTGAGAAGTGGAGGTCTGACATAAATCTTAAAGTAATTTTTAATTGATAACTTCAATATCAAGAACACTCGGTCAGTTTTGACTGACATTTTTGGACACAAGACAAAGGAAGAATTATTTAGCTGCGATATATTCTTCTTTTATTACCTTGGTTTTTGCAATTTTCCACTCAGCTAAATGAATTACATTCTCCAACTTGCAAATGTAATAACCCCCAAATCACACATAAATACATGGTCCATTCACCTTACAAAATGTCAGCTCAAGCACACCAATAAAGGATCAATAAAGGTTTACAAGTCTTTGGCACGTGCATAAGTCTCACGCTACGTTTTCTTCAAACTTCATGCAGAATTTTCCTCTGAATTTTCCACGTGCTGCTTTTTGAATCATGCATACTAACATTAATATTTTCAACTGATGAAGGCTCAAGCACCAGCGGAAACATCTTGAACAATACATCAAAAAATAGTCAGTGTCAAACCATTAACTTACAACACCAAAGAGAGTGGGAATGAATGTTAGATGTAAACAACTTCCTGTGGGTATGCTTGTGTGCTAGTGTTCCATAGAAACTTAACAACATTACACCTACCTATGATCAGTAAGTGATTCCATCTGTTTTTTGATTGTGCTTGTCAGACGTTTTCGCTTGATAGTTCTGTTTAACCATCTGCCAACCAGCCCTTTGCCATATTCACGACGATTGGCATTAGTGACTCGGGGTCTATCTCTAATCCTCTGTCCTCGAGTGCTGCGAATGGGTGGCCTCCTGCAATAATTTATTAATAATTACAATAGAGATAGGACCCTGCACACACCCTAATTGGTCAAAAACCCATGTTCTATCAGAGGATAAAACATAGAAAAAGCGAGTTTTATTGTTTTTCGCCACATTACCGCTATATCATAAAGCAAATGAAGAAGCCTAAGCTGTGTATTACACTGTGATAAAACACTCTGAACATTTGAGAACACTTGAAAAATATAGAAAACAATCGCCTGAGGCTCATGTTTTCTACATTTCACTCCTGTTCTCAAATGCCCATCATGTTTTATCACAGTGTAATACACGGCTTAGGCTTCTTTATTTGTTAATAATTATGGTATATCATGATAACTAATGGCTCAATCTTTGACGCAGAACTTACATTATTATATCTCCCTGTTATTACACACACTGTATTCTACCGAGTGGTCTGCAAAAATGTGAAGCTGATTTATTGGTTTCTTAGCAGGGCAAATGAACATGTAAAAGTTTTTGTTTTCTTTTAAATCTGAAGACCTGTATAAGGTATTAGTATACCCCCAAATTGACCATATTGCTTGATAATTTCCATTTTTGCCATTTCCAGACAGCTAGGTCACATAAAAAACTTTCAGTTATAAAATGATTCATGAAAATCCTTGCTCTTAGAGAAAGTTACCATGATAAAATAATTCTTTGCATTAAAGTGCACCTAACTACCCAAATTTTTCTTTGCTAAAATGAAACTACCTGTTATTTGAAGCATTTCTGTGTAATTGAGGTAATGTAATGTATTGTAAGTGATGTACGTAAGTAATATAGCATATTGTAAGCAACTCAGTAATTTTATGTAATGTTTTGTAAGTAGGTAATGTCGTATGTAGTAAGTAATATGGCGTACTGTAAGTAGGTAATGTAAAATAACATTTTGTAAGTGATAATTGTAAACTAGGAAGGTAGCAAATTATAAGTTGATTTTAGTACTGTGTTATAAATTATAAGCTTTGTAATGTAAGTAATCTGTAATTATCATGTACTATAAACAGAGTAAATAAATTTAAAACAATTTCTGTACAAGAATAAAAGCATGAATTAAACGCATTTGGTCACGGAATCCTTGATTTTCTATGCCCTTTTGAACTTCAGGCTTGTATCATTACACTTTAAGAGTCTGGGGCTGTATTATGATTTTCAATGCATAAGTTGCCATAAAATGGGTTCAGTGAACTCAAGCACAGAGGTACAAGTCAGAACAAATTGACTGTTTGTTTGGTCAAGGTGGCTCGACTTCTTTTTTTACATGATCACTGACTTTGATTGCACCTCAGTCCATAAACAGATAAAAAAAATATCTTGGCCAGTATTAAGCAATCTAGACCACATGCTTGGCCAATAGCCCATATTTATTTATTTTTGACATAGCGTTATCATTTGTTCAACACTTTATATTATTATTCAAGACTTACGGGGGTCCCTCAACTTCATCTTTTGCTTCCTGTGGAACAGGTGGGACAGGTTTCTCTTCTTCTTGGATTCCAGGAAGAAATCCTGGTTTGTCAAACCTTCGTCTAGGTTTCTCACTCATAAAATTAAAGAAGACGTCATCATCAATGTCACGATGGTCGATTCCCTAAAAAAAGTAAAATCTGTTTTAAAACAATAAGTAAAATACATTCACAGGATCCCATTGGTATCTTACGCTCCTGTAGGAAATCACAGGTTTTGCCACTAGTATCCCACCAAAGAAAAAATGCTGCAATAAACAATATAATTCTGAATTCTGTAAAATTTAAAATGTAAAATAAATTGTTGACAGAATTTGAGGGGTATCTCTAGTTCTTAAGGGAGTCACAGGTTCTCTCACAGGATCCAACCTCCATCCCACCCCCAAAAAGTGGTTTTACCATGATTACAGTAACTTAAAACCTTACACAATGTTTTTTTTTTCAAATATGATGCAAAACAAAATAATTAACTTACACCATCACCAGGAAAGGCACTGTCCACTTCATCACCCTCTGATTGAGACATAACAGCTGGTGAAAAGCTCCGCCCAGCCTCCAGTAATGTACTAACTGGCTGGGACCTTCCAGGGGATTTAAAAGTCTGTAGGGAAAATTTGGAAAAGAAACAGCTGGGACTAATTATTCTCTTTTATTATTTTACATTTCTTCAACCAAATTATCTTCATTATCACTGCCTTCCTAACAAACTGTTGATTCATGATTAATGTTTAACTGTGATGCCATATCTTCAGAAAATAGTTCAATGAAATCTATGCAGATCATTGAGCTGAACTTCAAGCTTTTACAACTTCCTCACTAACCATAATGCCACACATTGCTAACAGCACATAAAACAAATAAAGATTAAAAAGGTACCCCAGGATCATTTTTTATCTTCTTCATCTTTTTCCAAGCCATGGTGGCTACTGATTCCCGTCTACTCATCGTTCGTACAAGATCAGGGTCAGGTGGATGCGAGCTCTGATAGCTGCTAATACTGCCTGTCCCAATTGTTCCACGTTTGCCTGATTGAGGGAAATTATCCACGGCATCTTCAGCATGGGCGTCAAACAGAAGACCATAACGTTTGTGGTAGTGCCGTTTTCTTCTCTGGGTCCACTTTCTTTGTAGATGGTCATGTTGTTCATCACAGTCTCCAAGGCCAAAGAAGTTTTCAGTACCTTTGATTATCTTCCTGTTGAGAAGGGAAATAACACAGATGGCTTTCAATTCAAGTTGCAAACACAATCTTATGTTTTGACCAGGCTGCAGCCTTGCAGGATTTCCGCCAACAAATTGAAGTAATGCACTAAAATCCAAGTACCGGTAAATGTGCCATTGATAGTGCACAGAGTCAGGTCAGGATTAAGTGAGCAATGTTTCAATTATTGACAATCAAATATTTAAGTTTTTTCAGCTTGGAAATATAATAAAATGAAAAAAGACACATGAAAATTAACATGTTAAGCCCTTTGACCAGTTTAATTTTTGTTGGTTAAACATATCTTAAACAAAGCTTGATTTTGGCCATCATCTTGGATAAAATAACTGACCATGTGGATTATGCACTTACATTATTGTATGTTATTTGTTCATCGTGGTTTTGACTTCATTTCAAAAACTGCAGTCAAGGATTGTGGTAAACTTTGACCCCTCGCCCTTTTCAAGTTCCTGCAGGACCCCCATTTACCAAACAGGAGGGCCCTGAGACCACCCAAGGAAAATCCTGGTAAGGACATTGCTGAGATAATTACCATCAGATGGTTCTTCAATTCCCATGAACCATTAAACCCAAAGGAAGTGTGATGGCATTATTGTTATACTAAAATGACAGCCTCTGGATCAAGCATTGGGTCTGTCCTTGTGTCGTGTTCATGGAAATGGCTCCTAGTTTACACTTGTTGTGCCTCTCCCACTAACTGTGACCAGCTAATAGTTTGGGAGAACAGCAAAAATGCTGGGAGAAGCAACATCTCCTCTAGGGGTCAGGGGCGCAGCAGAACAGGGAACTGAAAGAGTATTTAAATTTTCATTTTACCTTTGAGGAATATTGGTGATTTAAGTGGAAAATTACAATAGTGCCTTCAATTCTTTTTCAGTAATTTTTATACATAACTAAAGTTTGTACGCCAAATTTGATGGCAAGTGAATGATAGATGCTGATGCAAATCTCAAAACAATGTATCTCTCTTTGACCACTCCCTTCTTCCCTCTTTGTTATTTTAAAGATTCAACACAAATAGATTCATTCAGATAACAAAGCTCTACCAGAGATATGAATACAGGCCCTCAAACTGATTCTTTAGTATTCAAAACTAGGCAGCAACCAATCAGACCTCAAGCAGATTGCTGTTTTACAATGTAATCAACAGCATGGTATTTTGGGGTCAAATTCTAGACATCTCTTAAGCAGGAGAAGAATTGAGTGCATGAGGATGCATCACAATGTCTGCTCAATGTATATCAAAATACTAATACTGCCTTTGTGCCTGGGTCAACCAGAAAAGAAAAATCTTGTCGACTTCTAAAGTATCTACTTTAATGAGATAGTTATCACCGGAAACTGCTGACATATTACACGTTAGGTTTATTATAATTTTTTTCCTTGTAACTACACGTCAAAACATGAAAATTGTTTCCACAAATAAAGAGAAACAAAGTACTTGCAGAAAGAAAATAGTAATCTCGCTCCATTGAGGAAGTATATATTAAATTAAACTGACATTGAGTGAACAGCTTTTATCTTCACGAATGCTTGTTTCCACAGCTAGGACAAATTAGAAAAGACGTAAATGTGCAAGTGTACTGAAATTAAAACATGGGCGCACTTTTTCTGGTCTGATGTCAGCAATAATAATTATTATTAGTGTTTTATCTCTGGACTTGAGTATCAAAATGAAACAGAAGTTGAATGGACAGTTTTATAAACAAACAAAGAAAAATAACAAATCTGGAAGAGATAATACTCTTGACAATCTTAGTGAAAAATAAACTTTTCTCTAAAAGTAAGTCAGGTGTATTTTAAAGTAAAACCAAGTCTTTTTTTTTTGAAAAAGGTTGTGAACAAGTAACAAAAATCATTAACCTGTCAACGGGATTATAAAGCTTTCAAAATCACATATGGACGTCTCTATTAGTATTGAACTTACAAAATTACATGTAATGTATCTGGGAAAAAAAGAACATTTTTTTCATTTGTGGCTGTCTATCCATATGCATGCTATAGTTTAGTAGTCCTTGATGAAGGTAATCTTTTTACAGTATTTTGTATTTTCCTTTGAGTAAAAAATTTGTCATTACTAAAAAAAATACGACAATCTGCAAAGTTCAAACATTGACTCCAGTTAACTGCCACAGTTTGAGCTCATCAAGCAAATTACTCTTTCTTATAGATTTTGTCATACTTTAGAGATTTTATGATTGGCAGTTATAGCAATCGTATAAATTCTTAGCTGTAATATAGTTAATCGTTTAGTAGTTAGATCAGGAAGTCATACATTTTATCTTAATTGTTATTCAATGCTGTATTGCTTTGCAGAATGTTAGTTACTTTGGTTCATCTATTCCATTAGCTCCACAGACTATGTTAAGGGTCCTAAACTCCACACAATTAACATTGTATCTAGACTAGTTTCCTTTGCTCTTCTCTTTTTTCTCTATCTATCTCTAATATCAAAATTATGACTAATTTTGAATTTTTGCCATAATACTATTTATGATTCTGTATAGATAATTTAATACTCCCTTAACGTGTTTGCGCGAGTTGAATAAAACTGACTTGAAATTGACTTTTAAGTATTAGTCCTGAAGTCACAATCCAATGGTCATCTAATCTTCTTGAGTAAACAAAAAGATCCTGACTGTGTCATGTCTGCCATGAAAATAATTGTTTTGACAATTTTTTAAGGTCACTTCAGCAAATTACTGTGTAATCAAGAGTCAACGCCCTTCTGCGTCAACACAAACGCTGTTAATTATTGAGGTCATTTATAACTAGATCACAACCTGCTGACATTAAATAATTGTGTGAGCAGTCAGTCATGTCTCTCTGATTAAATTTTAGACTTTACTATCTCCTTCAGTTTGAATTTCTTACCTCTTCCCACGCTTAAGAGTGTTTGATATACTTGCTATGCTAGGCCTAGCTGCCATTCGTGGAATGCTAGTATTCCCTATACTGGGTCTTGGAGGCCCCCTGTCTTGAAAATACTGAATGAACTCAGGGTAATATTCTTGTTCAGACAGATCATCGAAATTTAGGTGTTGCTGGGTGTAGAAAACACTGGATGCACCCGAGGCGATCGAGCCCCGACCCGAGGAAGCCATCTTTACGACGGATTGGCAAATAATTTTTGTTATATTGAATATTTTATAGATATGGTTTCGCTGCTGAATCTATAATATAAGCTATGCATGAATATTGCTTTGCGTACAAAGGCCGAAGACATGACAGGGCACAGAAAATGGACATCGCACACGCGATTTGGCAAATTCGTCTTAGAAGATCATCGCTATTTTACGGTTTATAAAATGATCAAAATTCATCACCACTGTGTTTTGATGGTAATGAAGCCTTCCTCTGACCCAGATATACAAAGTTTTCGACAGCAAAGTGTTGTACCGGAAGTGAGTAACATCGCAATACATGTTTTCTACCTTGCCGTATATGTTATTGACCGCCATATTTCAACTCCAAGAACAATACCAAGACCACAACAATTGGACATCTACAAATAAAAATATCATCAGCGAATGGTATACGCACTTTTTGATTGTTTGAGCGCGGCTAAGCTTGCTTGGAAGAACAGCTCCTGTAAATGGTGGAAGATGGTGTTCCGAACCTGTAGGAGTGTGCACAGCACTGCCGTCTTCAGTTTGAGCACTTTGTCTTGAAACACAGCGCGTAAGAAGCCTGGAAATTTAAAAGGACAAAGATAAGAAACTGTATTTTTTTCGTCCACAATCATCAAGAAGGGATTCAACTTAACCTTTGACGACCTTTGAACGCAAATCGTGCCAGTAAATTCCCAGTTGAAAGACTTGGAAATCGACAACTTGAATGAGTTCGATTTTGGGCTTTGAGAAAGGTGACGATCGATAATAATGCCCAATATTAGATTTGGTAAATATTTATGATTTAAACACTAAAAGAAGATCAAATTATAAATTTGAAAACGATGAGTTAGATCATCATAGTAATTACCACTGATTCACTCCATCGTTCTCTTCTCTGTTCCTATTGCTTGTAGCTTCGTGCTGACGGTTTTGTCTACGTTCATTCTCGAAGCCGCGATGTCTTCGACCGTGAAACGGGTTACAAAAAGCGGTAGCACCGTCATCTTCCCTCTCTTCCTTCTGAACTGTTGTAGGTTGGTAAGCACTTGCCATGGCTGGCTTTACAGCCAGAAGCAACTTAAATACAGTATGCTTGAATCTTTTCTATTTTTCCCTCCACAAGCAAAATTCCAAAGTTTGACTATTGCTGAAACTCACAGAAGTCTGGTGACTAACGCCTGCCTGCGCCTGCCACAACCGGAAAGGGAGTGGCGTTCAGGGGAACACCTCGATCGACTAAAATGAAAGGACAAGTGGTAAAAATAAACGTTAGTGCAATAACAGCAGAGTAGGAGAAACGTGTGAAGAAACAAAAGAAAAAAAATACAGATATTTGTATTTCCACTGATCTTATGTCTTCTCAAGAGAGACTTTGCATTACAGTTCACACCTGCTCACACAGAATATTTAACAAACACTGGAACCAGTGGTATAGCAAAAAAGTCGAAATTGTGCTTGCTTTATCAAAAGATGGAGGGCAATTTTGGGTCTTGGTCTAAGAAAGAGAGGGATTAGAAAAGGTTTTATTTACTTGTTTTCTTTTAACAATATTTTCCCTTCATATTTATTCTAGAAGTATAACATACTCGTCAAGAGCTTTTATTGATTTGTGTATGTGTATGTGTTAACTTAATTGGTCACTCCCCATTGGGGCTTTTCAGGACCAATGTAAACAAACAATGACAAATAAATATTCAAATAAACATAACTAGGTTAAAAATCCCAACTGGCGGGAGGCAGACCGAGAACAACATCAGCTAGTGGTCAGAACGGTTTTCAAATCCGGCGCTCTAACCACCCGCCCACGATGCCTCCAGCAGTTTAATTCTATACTTTGCGCATGGTCTCATTCATCTTTCAGATAAGCCGGGAAGAAGATTGCAGTTTACACTCAGTGGTGTAAGCAAAAAGAAAACAACAACAACAACAAAAACAAAAACAATTAAAATACAAGAAAACGAAAATGCACCAAAAACAGTATGTAAAAAAAATTATGAAAAGCAGTTTGATTGAGATAAATGACAGAACGGACTAATTTGTGTGTCAACAGTAACAGGAAACACCATTTCGAAGCCAGTCAGTCTTTCTTTTGTCACGTGTTGAAAGCCACTTATCTCTTACCAAGTGTGCTGTGATTCTTTTATCACCGAGAAATTGAGTATGTAGAACAGAACTTCAGTTTAGCAACTTCAAGACCTCATGAAGGTTCATTAGAGCATCAAATTTGAATGGATACAGGTACAGGAAGTCCAAGACTAGCCCTGGTTAAACAATGGACGATAGTTGATGGCCTATGACATGCTTCTGTTTGGCCACCAACTATAACGGATTATCATTCACTTTGAGCTTGGTCAAATTTTACCCGCGAATTTACTGGACAATGAGACAGTCAAACAGAGGAAGATCAAGGACAAACATGGAAAAAATTACACAGCAGATAAAAAGGCATTGGCAGCTGATTGGTCATGTGCTGATGAGGAATGCAAATGAATACCCAAAAGTAGCACTAACTTGGACCCCAGAGGGAAGATGTTGGAGAGGAAGGCAGGGGGAAACTTGGAGATGAACTTGGAGGGAAAGAGGAGAGTTCAGATTTCAAGGCTCACTGGATGTTGGTTAATGTGCTAAGAACTAAGAAGCTTGGCAAGCTAGAATGCAAGGCCCTATTTCCAATTGTAGGGAAAAGGACATGATTTTTTGACATTCTCTTTTGCATAGATTGCTTTGATAAATAGGCCATACAGTCGAACCTCCGGTTGCAACCACCTCTTGTAAGCTACTACCTCTCCTCAGCAACCAGTTTTCCAAAATACCAGAAGTTTCAAAGTCAGATCACTATATTTGGAACCTCTTGAAAGCGACCACCTCTCATAGGCAACCGCGACCACTTTTAGAACTAAAAGTTTGAAATTTTCCTTTGTTTTTTACCTCCCGTAAGGGACCACTTGACAGATAATGGAGCAAAAAATGGATAAAAAGGTGTGACATTATTGTATTCCTGGCTAGTACAAAAAATGGGAATTTCTCAATGGGAAGAACCGGATTTTTTTCTTGAAATTGACTTTTACATGAATAAAACATTGCATCGGCATTGGCACATGGGTCAAGTCTCGGCAGTAACCATATTCTAATTAGAAAAAATTTTGACCATTATGGTCTAAGCTCTCATAAGCAAACACCTCCCATAAGCCACCACCAAGGCTTGACATTTTGGCTGGTTGCTTATAGGAGGTTCCACTGTATTCGTATTCCCAGTATCGAACTGGAGCTAGCTTGCAACTGAGGCTAATGTGAGGAGTCTTTTCGAGTGCAAATGACATTCATCTTTTCTTCATGATATTCCCCCCGCATGAGCCTCCATTGCAAGCTAGTTTCAGTCCAATACCCAGAATATGAATATGGCCTATTTGTTAACCCAACACTTCCATGGGGAAGTATTTTCTAACCACCCAGGTGCACCCAAAATGGGGAGAAGGAAGAGACCCCCATCCCCCAGGAACAAGAACCTATAGACTGTTTTCAATATACTAAAATGCAGCTTGTCAGTGAGGCCCAGAGGACACAAATAAAGGGCATTGAATGACAGGACTGTTAATTCATTCCTTTTGTTTGTGTCCTCTAGGCCTCACCATCAAGCTGAATTTAAGTATGTCAAAAGTGACCTATTGAGATACAAAGTTTACTAAACAGAGTGGTTTCATGGCAGTTATGTTGGTGCTACAAAACGATATTACAGGAAATGATTGCATAAGAAAAAAACTTTCCCAAAGGAAACAATGTTATTGTTGTGGAACACCAATACGGCTGCCATCACATCAGTAAGTCAGCAGCAGATTAGCAAGATTAATCACACAATAAGTTTACATCTTTTGTGACTTTTATTTCAGCTTTTCTTTGCTTTCTTTTACTGTTGTTTTATAGCTTGTTCCTTGGCAACCACTCTCTGTCCACTTTGGTTTTTTGCCAGGAAGTCTGTAAACTCCTGGTATGGAGTCTTGGTAAACACAGTCTCCTTCCACATGTCAGGGGTCAAATAGCTGTAGGTCTTAGAGATGGCTGCAAAGGTAGCTTTGGCTGAAAACAAACAAAAAGTAACGTTAGTCACAAATCAACACCAAATTAAATTATTATTAGTACAAAAAGACCATTCTAGTCCAAAGAACAAGAGGTTTTAGATGGCTTAGATTTATACTCTGTCCATGAAGAAATACAGGGGATTGCTACTACTTCTGCTAAGATAGGACGCTACTCCAATATTTACTAATGATAAACTGATACAGACTTATAACTCCTAGCCAGAGCTCACACCCACAACTGTTCAATCTAGAATCCAGTGCAATTATCAGTTTTGAGTAGACCCAAAAAATCCTTAAGTATAAATTAGCTCTGACACAAAGATCAAAGAAAGGACTCTAACTGGCTTTACAAGCGTAAAATATTTTGGAGCAAGTCTTAGGTATCCCGCCCTCCCAGGTGGTACAGTTGAACCTCTACTAAAGGCCACTTCCCCACAACAGCCACCTCTCTCCACAATGAGAGTTGGACTGGAATGGTCACCTCTCCCCACAATGGCCACAATTTTTTTGTCCCAGTAAAGAGATTTGCTCTTCACAATGGCCAGTAAACTCTGTCCCTGGGGTGGGCATTATAGAGAGGTTCAACTGTAGTTTGGAAGGGTTATGGCACTTTGTGTACAAAATTAATTCAAATTACCAAAATTGCCAAGAGTGGCCGTCTGTCCGCGAGCTGATGTGTAACAATCCTCAATACCAGCCATCTGAAGCAGCTTCTTGGGGACTGGGGCAGACACAATGCCAGTTCCTCTTGGTGCGGGAATCAAACGTACACGTACTGAACCACATTTGCCTGTCACCTTTAATAAGTAATTGCACAAAGTCAGTCAGAAAGTCAGGGTTTTAATTTGAAGTGAGAAAATTACCTTGATATTCACTGTAACACCTCAAAAGATCAGACACATCAAAGCAACAGTACAAGAGAAGCGGATGATGGCAGTGACAAACCTTGCATGGCACAGTGTGGGGCTGACCGATCTTGTTACCCCAGTAACCACGGCGCACAGGAATGACAGACAATTTAGCAAGGATGATGGCACCACGAATAGCTGTTGCTACCTCCTTGGAGCACTTCACACCAAGACCAACATGTCCATTACTGTCTCCAATGGCAACAAAGGCCTTGAAGCGTGTACGCTGTCCTGCTCTGGTCTGTTTTTGCACTGGCATGATTTTGAGAACTTCATCTTTTAAGGCAGCCCCGAGGAAGAAGTCAATGATCTCATGCTCCTAAAACGCAAGAAGCAGGTATACAAGTCAAACTTGAATCCAAGCATAACAGCAATCACAATCTTTAACAAAAGTAACTTGCTCCTCAACATGTTATCAGTGAACAGATGCATGTGAATACCTTGATGGGAAGAGAAAAGAGGTATATCTGCTCCAAAGTTTTGATCTTCATGTCCTTAACCAAGCGGCCAAGTTTAGTCACAGGCACCCACTGAAAGTGAAGAAGGAGAGTTCACATCTAAGAGTTAAAGATCTTAAATCTTCTAACATCAATTGTTATGATCATTATTTGATATTAAACAAATTAATAACTATACTGCTAAATATTGAATTTTGAATCTTTTAAAACAGAACAAAAAAATAAATAAGCACAATTGAGCACAATTATCAAGAGTACACAAATGGATTCGATTCCATCTCCCTACGTTCAGCTGGGACAAGTGAATATGTTGACAGTCCCTTTAACATTTTCCACCATATTTATATCTTTAAGAGCAAAAGTTTCGGATATTTCTGTACCTCCTTGTCCTCGGCTTTACCCCTTCCACGACCCCGTCCCCGGCCTCGACCACGGCCTCTTCCACGGCCACGGCCGCCGAATCCTCCACGAAAACCTCCGCGAGCACCACCGGCTGGTTCCGAATCCGCCATTTGCTAGAGGAAGAAAATTCAACGATTTTCACTTTACGTTAGTTTTATGCTTTCGTTAAAGAAGATCTTTAATAAAGCTAGCCAAAGTAGCTCAACTGTTATATATTTTCATTTCCGTTAAGCTCCCCTCGTGTCACCTAGCTTCTTCAACATATACGAAAGCTTTACATATACAATGAAACTCTATAATCCATATCGTTCTAAAATCGTCGAAGAAACGATAAAAAAATTACTCAGTACTACTTAGGAATAAAGAATGATTATTTAAGGGCAGCAAATCCTTTCATAGAGACGTGTTGATAGCAGATTGAACTAGATTTTCAATCCAAAGGTTTCACCCTACTTACGTGATGTCTTTGAGCGACTGAGAAGGAAGAGAAAAGGCCGCTCTAGGTATTTATTGTAAAATATATTATGGGATGGTACACTTGCGTAATTATTTTTATGTCCTTAGGGCGGGGAAGGAGGGGTTTGATTCGCTCTATAATCGGTTGATAAAATAGTCGGGAGCGCATCAATCTGAACGTTGGAAAATTAAAACATGAACTGAATAGTGTTTTCTAATGCACTTCTCCTTTGCTTTTGTTTTACGCTGCCAAAAATATTTTAAAATACGAATCTTGTAGAAAATAGTCAGTCTGCAGACCGGTGCCCAATCGTGTCTTTTTACTGGCCCTCTCCCGTTTCTTCCGGTCTTGGCCGTGTAGGTAGGTAAAACGGAGCCTGGGGAGGGTGGAATGAGAGCGCCCGGCGTTTGTCCTCCTAGTCCTGGTGCCCTCCGCGATCTTTCTTCCTTTCTACCCTCACCCCGGCCCTTTCTAGGAACCCTTTGCGGAGGAAAGATATATTAATAGTCTGCAGTCGACTCCATCATCCTCTCACCTCTTGTAGGTTTTGGTATAGAACAACCTTATATCCGTTGCTGCTCTCAGGATGAACGAATGTTGTCCACTCAGACTCCAAAAAGGCGTAGAACTTGCTTGCGGTGGTTGCACAAATTTAATCAGAAAAATAGGTCCGTTATGCGTACGTGTGTGACCACGAACTACCGTTGCCACAAAGATTAGTCAGAAAATAGAATGCTAACTTGAGGCAGTGTATGCTAAGAAAAAATGTAGAGCAAAATGTTCACATCACAGGTAACAACATGACAATATTAAACACTTGTTCCCAGAGTTTTCTTTACAAACTTTATCACTTCAGAAGACATCAAAGTTTTGCAACATAAACACAGGAAATGTGCATTCCCAGATTCCAGAGAATCATACTTCAAAAATAAAAACATTTCACCACAAAACAATGCTATTTATTTTACACTTTTTCAGCTTTGTGGTAAAAATATATGAACAATCCAACTGTTCCTAATTTCCAATGCATATTTTATTTTATTTATATTTTTTTCAAATATAACTCATCAAGTTAAAGGTATTAGTAAAAACTTTCTATCTCTAACAGACTGTCACTCTGACCTCTACAGTCAAGGGAATGAGTGCCTCTTTTCATGGTCCAAATCCAATGTTCAAGAAGATTGAGCCTGTGGTCTAAAGCTCTTAAGCTGCTTGGTGACATGAAGTACACCTACGGCACAGTGCTGGTGTGATGGCTTTTGGGATACTCGTATTACTCTTTTTTTTTTCAATAATAAGGGCCAGAAACTATTTGAGCCATTCAGTAAAGATCAACCCAAATGGCCCATCTTTTCAAGACTATTTGCTACAGTCAATTTCTATGTTCCTATGTTTAAAAGAAAGAAAAACAAACTCAGTTTTCTAGTGAACTGGAGAAAATTTGGTAGTCTTTGTACTTCTATTTCCTTTTCCTTTTCCACTTGTGTCAGGTTAACACAAGTCCAACTGGAAAACGAGGCCTTGAGGCATAACTGAGCAGCTTGGAAGATGGCGTTATCAGTCAGTCTTTGTCACTGTACAGAGCGATAAACCACGACCTTCTACCACCAATCTCAGCCTATGTTTGTTAATGGTCGTTGATATAAAAAACCCTTTGATATACATGAGTTACTATTAGTCCACTTCTTCTGACTCAATGGTTGTGTTAGATGCTGATGTGCCACTGTTCCCTTCACCCATCAGTGTCTGCATTATGTCACCTGAGGAAAACAAGATAACATTTTCAACTTTCTGGTAGAGTTTACAACACACTTTTCACTGCTACGACAAGATTCTTCTCAGAAATGTAACTAAGAAGAAAACTATGATGGTGTGTTAAAAGACCAGACAATGTCTCTGACCTGTGCACCTTCCATATTAACTCGTCTTTGTTTTCTAGTCCCAGAGGGGATGAAGAGGTTTGAACCCAGGAAGAACTGAACTATGAACTACTGAAGAGGACTATGTTAATGGTAAGTTAGTTTTCTAGTGAAATTTGTGCTGGTGATGAGCTCCCTTTCAAGCTATATCCTAAAGAAGCATCCCTAGATTTTATTTCTCAGAGGGGATGATTCTCAAAATGGAAGTGACAGCAATGCTTATCATGTCTTTTGAGGGTTAACAATTTGCATGTTTTCCTACCCATTAGATTATTTACCAGGTATTGTTATGGTTACATCTCCAGCTCAAATGTTAACTACCTTTACATGGCTATGTGCTTCTAAAAAAGTTAGGAGTCCAAAGAAGTGGGCAATAAGTTTGGAACCAAAAGAAAAAGAAAAAATATTTAAACAAAGATTGTAACCAGAAAGCAGACATCAAAACATGTGCCAGCAGCCAGTGACTTTGCTGTCTACAGTCTGTTGTTAATCATTTAGTCCACACAAGTTCTCTGCAAGAGCGCACCCCTCACCGCTCCTCCAGCCAGCAAGCAAGGCTCTTACTATTCCGCCTTCTACGACAATGCTGATANACCAGAAGTTTCAAAGTCAGATCACTATATTTGGAACCTCTTGAAAGCGACCACCTCTCATAGGCAACCGCGACCACTTTTAGAACTAAAAGTTTGAAATTTTCCTTTGTTTTTTACCTCCCGTAAGGGACCACTTGACAGATAATGGAGCAAAAAATGGATAAAAAGGTGTGACATTATTGTATTCCTGGCTAGTACAAAAAATGGGAATTTCTCAATGGGAAGAACCGGATTTTTTTCTTGAAATTGACTTTTACATGAATAAAACATTGCATCGGCATTGGCACATGGGTCAAGTCTCGGCAGTAACCATATTCTAATTAGAAAAAATTTTGACCATTATGGTCTAAGCTCTCATAAGCAAACACCTCCCATAAGCCACCACCAAGGCTTGACATTTTGGCTGGTTGCTTATAGGAGGTTCCACTGTATTCGTATTCCCAGTATCGAACTGGAGCTAGCTTGCAACTGAGGCTAATGTGAGGAGTCTTTTCGAGTGCAAATGACATTCATCTTTTCTTCATGATATTCCCCCCGCATGAGCCTCCATTGCAAGCTAGTTTCAGTCCAATACCCAGAATATGAATATGGCCTATTTGTTAACCCAACACTTCCATGGGGAAGTATTTTCTAACCACCCAGGTGCACCCAAAATGGGGAGAAGGAAGAGACCCCCATCCCCCAGGAACAAGAACCTATAGACTGTTTTCAATATACTAAAATGCAGCTTGTCAGTGAGGCCCAGAGGACACAAATAAAGGGCATTGAATGACAGGACTGTTAATTCATTCCTTTTGTTTGTGTCCTCTAGGCCTCACCATCAAGCTGAATTTAAGTATGTCAAAAGTGACCTATTGAGATACAAAGTTTACTAAACAGAGTGGTTTCATGGCAGTTATGTTGGTGCTACAAAACGATATTACAGGAAATGATTGCATAAGAAAAAAACTTTCCCAAAGGAAACAATGTTATTGTTGTGGAACACCAATACGGCTGCCATCACATCAGTAAGTCAGCAGCAGATTAGCAAGATTAATCACACAATAAGTTTACATCTTTTGTGACTTTTATTTCAGCTTTTCTTTGCTTTCTTTTACTGTTGTTTTATAGCTTGTTCCTTGGCAACCACTCTCTGTCCACTTTGGTTTTTTGCCAGGAAGTCTGTAAACTCCTGGTATGGAGTCTTGGTAAACACAGTCTCCTTCCACATGTCAGGGGTCAAATAGCTGTAGGTCTTAGAGATGGCTGCAAAGGTAGCTTTGGCTGAAAACAAACAAAAAGTAACGTTAGTCACAAATCAACACCAAATTAAATTATTATTAGTACAAAAAGACCATTCTAGTCCAAAGAACAAGAGGTTTTAGATGGCTTAGATTTATACTCTGTCCATGAAGAAATACAGGGGATTGCTACTACTTCTGCTAAGATAGGACGCTACTCCAATATTTACTAATGATAAACTGATACAGACTTATAACTCCTAGCCAGAGCTCACACCCACAACTGTTCAATCTAGAATCCAGTGCAATTATCAGTTTTGAGTAGACCCAAAAAATCCTTAAGTATAAATTAGCTCTGACACAAAGATCAAAGAAAGGACTCTAACTGGCTTTACAAGCGTAAAATATTTTGGAGCAAGTCTTAGGTATCCCGCCCTCCCAGGTGGTACAGTTGAACCTCTACTAAAGGCCACTTCCCCACAACAGCCACCTCTCTCCACAATGAGAGTTGGACTGGAATGGTCACCTCTCCCCACAATGGCCACAATTTTTTTGTCCCAGTAAAGAGATTTGCTCTTCACAATGGCCAGTAAACTCTGTCCCTGGGGTGGGCATTATAGAGAGGTTCAACTGTAGTTTGGAAGGGTTATGGCACTTTGTGTACAAAATTAATTCAAATTACCAAAATTGCCAAGAGTGGCCGTCTGTCCGCGAGCTGATGTGTAACAATCCTCAATACCAGCCATCTGAAGCAGCTTCTTGGGGACTGGGGCAGACACAATGCCAGTTCCTCTTGGTGCGGGAATCAAACGTACACGTACTGAACCACATTTGCCTGTCACCTTTAATAAGTAATTGCACAAAGTCAGTCAGAAAGTCAGGGTTTTAATTTGAAGTGAGAAAATTACCTTGATATTCACTGTAACACCTCAAAAGATCAGACACATCAAAGCAACAGTACAAGAGAAGCGGATGATGGCAGTGACAAACCTTGCATGGCACAGTGTGGGGCTGACCGATCTTGTTACCCCAGTAACCACGGCGCACAGGAATGACAGACAATTTAGCAAGGATGATGGCACCACGAATAGCTGTTGCTACCTCCTTGGAGCACTTCACACCAAGACCAACATGTCCATTACTGTCTCCAATGGCAACAAAGGCCTTGAAGCGTGTACGCTGTCCTGCTCTGGTCTGTTTTTGCACTGGCATGATTTTGAGAACTTCATCTTTTAAGGCAGCCCCGAGGAAGAAGTCAATGATCTCATGCTCCTAAAACGCAAGAAGCAGGTATACAAGTCAAACTTGAATCCAAGCATAACAGCAATCACAATCTTTAACAAAAGTAACTTGCTCCTCAACATGTTATCAGTGAACAGATGCATGTGAATACCTTGATGGGAAGAGAAAAGAGGTATATCTGCTCCAAAGTTTTGATCTTCATGTCCTTAACCAAGCGGCCAAGTTTAGTCACAGGCACCCACTGAAAGTGAAGAAGGAGAGTTCACATCTAAGAGTTAAAGATCTTAAATCTTCTAACATCAATTGTTATGATCATTATTTGATATTAAACAAATTAATAACTATACTGCTAAATATTGAATTTTGAATCTTTTAAAACAGAACAAAAAAATAAATAAGCACAATTGAGCACAATTATCAAGAGTACACAAATGGATTCGATTCCATCTCCCTACGTTCAGCTGGGACAAGTGAATATGTTGACAGTCCCTTTAACATTTTCCACCATATTTATATCTTTAAGAGCAAAAGTTTCGGATATTTCTGTACCTCCTTGTCCTCGGCTTTACCCCTTCCACGACCCCGTCCCCGGCCTCGACCACGGCCTCTTCCACGGCCACGGCCGCCGAATCCTCCACGAAAACCTCCGCGAGCACCACCGGCTGGTTCCGAATCCGCCATTTGCTAGAGGAAGAAAATTCAACGATTTTCACTTTACGTTAGTTTTATGCTTTCGTTAAAGAAGATCTTTAATAAAGCTAGCCAAAGTAGCTCAACTGTTATATATTTTCATTTCCGTTAAGCTCCCCTCGTGTCACCTAGCTTCTTCAACATATACGAAAGCTTTACATATACAATGAAACTCTATAATCCATATCGTTCTAAAATCGTCGAAGAAACGATAAAAAAATTACTCAGTACTACTTAGGAATAAAGAATGATTATTTAAGGGCAGCAAATCCTTTCATAGAGACGTGTTGATAGCAGATTGAACTAGATTTTCAATCCAAAGGTTTCACCCTACTTACGTGATGTCTTTGAGCGACTGAGAAGGAAGAGAAAAGGCCGCTCTAGGTATTTATTGTAAAATATATTATGGGATGGTACACTTGCGTAATTATTTTTATGTCCTTAGGGCGGGGAAGGAGGGGTTTGATTCGCTCTATAATCGGTTGATAAAATAGTCGGGAGCGCATCAATCTGAACGTTGGAAAATTAAAACATGAACTGAATAGTGTTTTCTAATGCACTTCTCCTTTGCTTTTGTTTTACGCTGCCAAAAATATTTTAAAATACGAATCTTGTAGAAAATAGTCAGTCTGCAGACCGGTGCCCAATCGTGTCTTTTTACTGGCCCTCTCCCGTTTCTTCCGGTCTTGGCCGTGTAGGTAGGTAAAACGGAGCCTGGGGAGGGTGGAATGAGAGCGCCCGGCGTTTGTCCTCCTAGTCCTGGTGCCCTCCGCGATCTTTCTTCCTTTCTACCCTCACCCCGGCCCTTTCTAGGAACCCTTTGCGGAGGAAAGATATATTAATAGTCTGCAGTCGACTCCATCATCCTCTCACCTCTTGTAGGTTTTGGTATAGAACAACCTTATATCCGTTGCTGCTCTCAGGATGAACGAATGTTGTCCACTCAGACTCCAAAAAGGCGTAGAACTTGCTTGCGGTGGTTGCACAAATTTAATCAGAAAAATAGGTCCGTTATGCGTACGTGTGTGACCACGAACTACCGTTGCCACAAAGATTAGTCAGAAAATAGAATGCTAACTTGAGGCAGTGTATGCTAAGAAAAAATGTAGAGCAAAATGTTCACATCACAGGTAACAACATGACAATATTAAACACTTGTTCCCAGAGTTTTCTTTACAAACTTTATCACTTCAGAAGACATCAAAGTTTTGCAACATAAACACAGGAAATGTGCATTCCCAGATTCCAGAGAATCATACTTCAAAAATAAAAACATTTCACCACAAAACAATGCTATTTATTTTACACTTTTTCAGCTTTGTGGTAAAAATATATGAACAATCCAACTGTTCCTAATTTCCAATGCATATTTTATTTTATTTATATTTTTTTCAAATATAACTCATCAAGTTAAAGGTATTAGTAAAAACTTTCTATCTCTAACAGACTGTCACTCTGACCTCTACAGTCAAGGGAATGAGTGCCTCTTTTCATGGTCCAAATCCAATGTTCAAGAAGATTGAGCCTGTGGTCTAAAGCTCTTAAGCTGCTTGGTGACATGAAGTACACCTACGGCACAGTGCTGGTGTGATGGCTTTTGGGATACTCGTATTACTCTTTTTTTTTTCAATAATAAGGGCCAGAAACTATTTGAGCCATTCAGTAAAGATCAACCCAAATGGCCCATCTTTTCAAGACTATTTGCTACAGTCAATTTCTATGTTCCTATGTTTAAAAGAAAGAAAAACAAACTCAGTTTTCTAGTGAACTGGAGAAAATTTGGTAGTCTTTGTACTTCTATTTCCTTTTCCTTTTCCACTTGTGTCAGGTTAACACAAGTCCAACTGGAAAACGAGGCCTTGAGGCATAACTGAGCAGCTTGGAAGATGGCGTTATCAGTCAGTCTTTGTCACTGTACAGAGCGATAAACCACGACCTTCTACCACCAATCTCAGCCTATGTTTGTTAATGGTCGTTGATATAAAAAACCCTTTGATATACATGAGTTACTATTAGTCCACTTCTTCTGACTCAATGGTTGTGTTAGATGCTGATGTGCCACTGTTCCCTTCACCCATCAGTGTCTGCATTATGTCACCTGAGGAAAACAAGATAACATTTTCAACTTTCTGGTAGAGTTTACAACACACTTTTCACTGCTACGACAAGATTCTTCTCAGAAATGTAACTAAGAAGAAAACTATGATGGTGTGTTAAAAGACCAGACAATGTCTCTGACCTGTGCACCTTCCATATTAACTCGTCTTTGTTTTCTAGTCCCAGAGGGGATGAAGAGGTTTGAACCCAGGAAGAACTGAACTATGAACTACTGAAGAGGACTATGTTAATGGTAAGTTAGTTTTCTAGTGAAATTTGTGCTGGTGATGAGCTCCCTTTCAAGCTATATCCTAAAGAAGCATCCCTAGATTTTATTTCTCAGAGGGGATGATTCTCAAAATGGAAGTGACAGCAATGCTTATCATGTCTTTTGAGGGTTAACAATTTGCATGTTTTCCTACCCATTAGATTATTTACCAGGTATTGTTATGGTTACATCTCCAGCTCAAATGTTAACTACCTTTACATGGCTATGTGCTTCTAAAAAAGTTAGGAGTCCAAAGAAGTGGGCAATAAGTTTGGAACCAAAAGAAAAAGAAAAAATATTTAAACAAAGATTGTAACCAGAAAGCAGACATCAAAACATGTGCCAGCAGCCAGTGACTTTGCTGTCTACAGTCTGTTGTTAATCATTTAGTCCACACAAGTTCTCTGCAAGAGCGCACCCCTCACCGCTCCTCCAGCCAGCAAGCAAGGCTCTTACTATTCCGCCTTCTACGACAATGCTGATATCAGGTTGGGAAACCACAACCATACTCCATACAATACTCACCAATAATTCCCTCCATCATTCCTTTGTTTGAAGGCTTTGGAGTGAGACCAAAGAAGAGCTGTCCAATCCTATCTAAATACTAAGAGGAAAATGCAATTATTAGTTCCATGAAGATAGACATATAAAAAAAATTATATTCTCATCTCATTTAAATGAGTAACAAAAAGTTCCTTGAATGTGCACAGTAGCAGAGATTTTGGTACAATATTAAAGATATTACTTCAGTTCAACCCAGTGAAAATGGTTTGAGATGTTGGGGATTCAAGATGGCCAATAATTATTGATTCAAAAAGAAAATCCAAGGGAAAATGATTTGAGTTCAAGATAGTGGGGAGTTTTAGATAACTGAGTTTGAAAAAAGTGAGGTTCTACTATATCCTCATCCCAGAAAAAGATGGAAGAATGCAACAAATAGTAATCACTTTCTTTTAAGTTGGAATCTTCTCACTACTTGTAAAACTAAAGAGAACTTACCTCTTTATATACTGGATCTCTTTCTATGGAGGGCTGATATTTTTCACACAGCACTGTAAACTGACTTAAAGATCCTTTCCTGTAAAATCAAAAATATTTCTTGAGCTTTACTCCTTAAACCTGAATAAGTCTAGTAATGCGAGAAAAGACAATGTTCCTAATAAAGCAACTGGATGTGACCAATGTTCTTCGTACTTAAAAGATGTTAGAAAGCCATGAGTCTATCCCATGATTATTCCAAACATCTTTTCACTTTGAAGTACACACCTTTCTATAACTAGAAGCAAGAACCACACAAAATTAAGAAGGGGTTTTTGGTATGGTGGTCCAGTTCCAGAGAAATCTGGATGTTGTGCTGTATATTTGAAGAACACTAAGTTGGCAGTCATGAGGTTCTGTAGGCAAAGAAACCTGTGGAACAGAGTAATGTCTCAATTAATTGACTTGCTTAGTACAAACAAAATAGGCTGCCCTCTTGCTTGTTTGTTCATTCATTTGTTCGTTCGTTCGTTCATTCGTTCGTTGGTTCGTTGGTTTGTTGGTTTGTTGGTTCGTTGGTTCGTTCATTCGTTCATTCGTTTGTTCATTCAGTAACTGAATCACTGTGAGCTTACTCTTCCAGATGAAAAAGTCCTGTTGATATAACAAACTTTTGCAATTGAAGAAAAAGTTTCAAGTCAAGTACTCATCTCTCAGCTACTCATGATTTATTGTTGTCAATCTGGCAACACTGCACATCCTGTATGTTTTTAAATAAAATAAAGAGTGCATTTAATACTTTGAAGTATATCTTTCTTTTTGTACAAAATATCTGCACTATAGCTATGTCAGTCCAAAATACTAAGTACTGTTCCCAAAAAACGAAAATCCAAGGCATTTCATAATGTCACATCCTTAACTTTCTGCATAATCTAAGCAGAGGGTCAGTGAAATTAGACATACTGTAGAACTGCTTGTGTGACAAATAAATCTGCCTCTCCTGGAAAGCCAAGTGTCGTAGCATTTTCCACCAGCATTGTTGCACACTGTTGCCCATCCGAAGTAAACAGAAAGTGATATTGTGAATCACTGAAGTTTTTCTCTGTTAAATGATAAAAAATCCAACTTAATGTGAGAATCTTGACAGAACAACTCAAACACTCTCTTTTTCCACAGTTTTGAAGCTATTGCCAAAGCTCTGTTAAGTTTGAGCTTAATTCCCTGAAGCTTCAAAAAATTCACTTCCCTTTTTCCTTCAGATTTTAAAAGCACATTTGTTTGACACCTGACTGCCAAAGTCTTGAGCTTCAAATTTTATCCAAAGGCTGTATTTCTTTGAGTGCAAGTTAAGGATTTCACAGTCCACCATTTCACATTCAAGACTCAGTGACCAACTGAACCTCAGAGGGTTGGATTGAGGATAAGATGACGTCAAAGACTCACCAGCTTAAAATTGCAGCGTGTAAACACAGCTTATTGTACATGCATAACACGAGTTTACAAGTCTGAAAATTCGAAACTCCTGTGCTGCATATTAATTTAGGCATGTACACACGCATTACATTTTTAAACTAGTGAGTCTTTGACGTCATCTTACCCTCGATCCAGCTCTCTCAAGATTTTAAAGTTAGTAATGGTGCACCATTAATTATGAAAATTTTAGTCAAAATAGACAGGTCTCTTTGAAATGAAGGCTTAAAACTTCGGTCACTTAGTGGTTCACTGATATAGTTTTGAAATACAAAGAAAAAGTAGAATTGATTTTTGTTCCAGTAGCACTTTAAAGGGGAGGGAGGAGGGAGGCTTCTAAAATTAAGTCTTATATTAGACCTTTCCCACATTCCACTTGATCAATGCATACATGAATGATTGAACCAGGTTTTTTAAAAACCTGCTTCTGGAAAATAAAACAACAACTTTCAGAAAATAAAACAATTTATTTTCTTTAAAAAGTAGGTGTCCACAGGACACCTGGTTGCACATCTGGATAAAAATTTTATCCAGATGTGCATCCAGGTGTTTTTTTAATCCAGATGTGCATCCAGGTGTCCTGTCGACACCTACTTTCAAAAGAAAATAAAATTGCTTTATTTTCCAGAAGTTAATTTATAAATTGTTCATTTGAGCAGACCCTATAGCACATTTTGGAGGCCAACTTTTCAAATTCTTCCAAAGAGCCTGGATTGAACCAAACCGAGGTAGGGGTGCACATTTTCCTACATTTCTTGTATTTTTGTCCACTCCAACCTCACCTTCGCACCAGTGTTTGTAGGAATGTCGGCAGGGTCTATAAGACTAGGAGAGGTGTGGTGGCCTCATGGTTAGTCTGCTTGACTTTGGATTGAGTGGTCCAGGTTCATGTCCTGGCTGGGGACATTGTGTTGTGTTCTTGGGCAAGACACTTTACTCTCAAATTGCCTCTCTCCACCCACGTGTAAATGGGTACCGAAGAATTTAATGCTGGGGGTAACCCTGTGATGGACTAGCATCCCATCCAGGGGGGAGTAAAAACACTCTTAGTTGCTTCATGCAACAGAAACTGGCATAAACTCTCGCCTGATGGGCCAGTTAGCTTGTATGCAGACTTTACCTTTACCTTCTTTAAAACTAGGAGACAAATTAAAAGAGGAAATTGAAAAGGAACTGGATACAGAAATTGAAATAAAACACACACGATGGCTTCATTTGTCACAATTTATAAATACTCCTCAGCTCATGGAGTGAACTTGCTTTTGAATGTCAGGAACACAACATTCCAAAACATTTCAGTTGCTCATGTCACTCAGTAGCTATATAAAACACCTTTCTATCAATACTGTTATATGATTCCATTACAAATTAGCAATGTGCCCTTTATGTTGCTGTGTTTGTTTGCATATTTCAAACCATCTCACCTTTCCAAAATATATGTGCACATACAAGGTGAAGATCAGGATGACCATATTTAAGGGATGAATCTGTATCAGATGTCCATCTGTAAAAACACGACAAATTAATAAAAAACAAATGGGCAAATACAGTAAATGAATGATCATGGTAAGGCCATTTGAAGCCGGTTTACTGCCTAGTCCAGTTTCTCTATTTGCACAGAGAAACTGTTAACATTAGTCATGTCACTATGGTCTATATTATAGAAGCAAATGTTTGATGAGCTGCAGCTAAGCTAACTATGGGTCAAATTTAAGAAAATGACAGCAGGAAAACATTGCACATGGACCTAAAAAAGTTATTTTGGATATTTTGGATATTCCCTTTCAAGTGTAAGTGCACATGATCATCGGCTATCAGAGAATGGTAAACAGTAAGAAAATCAGTAACATTATCAGATTTACATTTAACATTTTTAAATTGTGAACTTAACGTTTAAATAACTAGCTTATAGCTGTCAAAGAATGCAGCCCCAACTGAACTATTAATATATCGGTAAACCAAAAGCAAAATCAAGCTTTTAGCCAGATAGGTGTCCAGATGTCCTGTGGATGGCCACTCAATAAAGAAAATTGTTTTATTTTTCATATGTTGCTTATTAATTATTCATTGAGCAAGCCCTTTGGCACATTTTGGATGCCCTCTTTTCAAATCCCAGCTAAAAGCCTGAGTAAAATATTTCATTTGTAAATGGTGTGCTGTCATGTTTAAGATACAGTATTTGCATCATTGCCAGGAGTATGACAATTCACAGTGCAACAGTGTCAATAATGTAATTAATACTAACAAAGCTAAAAACACTATTCATTTGAGATTGAGAAATCAAATTCACGCCATTCCTATAAAATTTCCACTTACTTAATTGCTTCTCTTATAAAACCATATCTGTCCAATGAACCGGGCTCATAAAGTTCAAATAGACTTCTAATTTTATCCAAGGCATCGTGTCCAACAGGTACCTCTGCTGTGCGGAAGCATTCAAGCATCAGCAAAGCAAGATCATTGCCACTTCCTTCCTAAAAAGGCACAAGGTTTACATACAGTTATCAAAATGTAAATAAGTGCTACCATTTTCACCTGTGTTGAAGATTGTCGTGTACATCATTGTTCAGTAACATGGCAATGGGTAATTTGTTCAAGTTTGTTTCATTGACAGACAACATTGTTCTTGAAAATTATTTCAAACTACTTCACTAAAATGGGAGGCACAGTAGATGGAGCTGTCCCCATTCAAGCCCTGGTTGGGGTTTCATTGTTTTGTGTTCTTGTGCAAGATACTTGTTCACACATTGTCATCCTCCACCCACATGTGTCAATGGGAACCATTAAATTTACTGAAAGTAGCATTGTCATGGGCTAGCTTCCTATCCAGGGGGGTGTAAAAATACTTATAGTCACTTCATACTACAGAAATCAGGATGAGCTCTGGCACCTGTGGGACACCTGCCTGATGCAAACTTGACCTTATGAATACTAAATGTACTAAAATAATTTATGTGTTACTGCAATAACCCTTTGATGATGTACTATCTCTTTCATGCATCTTAAAGTCTAATCAGTCCAAGCATCTTTGAGAGAAAACAAAAAAATACTTCATCTACATGTTAACTTGAATTTTCTTCACTATTGCATTTCAACTAAGTAAAAGCCCAGATAACAAAATAATAATTTTATGCCCAGACAGAAGAACTCTGCATGGCTTATCTCAGTTCACTGAGTGAAATTATGTAAAATTCTGCTCAGTGGAGGAGAGAGATCTGTCCAGATAGTTACCTGTTTGTGTTTCAGGAATAAGCAAGCCCCATTGTGAACTATCTCAATAGCTTCATCATAGCATTTCTGGGAAATATACCTAGAAAATGGTAAATTCAAAGTGTGATACTAATCCTTTCAAGAAAACCCAACCTTGAAGCTAGCTTAGCTGTTAAAATGTTAAACCAATAAATTCCTATAGTTATGTGATATCTGAAGTATAATGCAGAATATGGACTGAAATTCATTCATTTTAGCTTTAAGGTTAGCTTTTAGAGTAAAAAGGTTGGTATTCAAGTCAAGGGTTTAAGTTGGTTTTTGGCTAGTGCTTTGGTAGGATTAGAGTACGTCTACAATCTACTTTTTATAATAACTGCTTTATATTGATTAAACCAACTTGAGGTTTGACTCTGTTACAGATGGCAGACAGGTTCCTATTTGATTTTACACTCACAAGCGGTAAAGCGACCAAATTGAGCCGACAGGTGAAGCCAGCTGCTCTGGTGGGAAGAAGTGATTTTGTTCTTATCAGTGCAAATTTTGCATTTCCACCCTGGGAAAATTCACAGTTAAAGTTAACAGTCCAGATCTAATCACTTCTGGTTTAACTTCATACGAAGTTACTGCCAAGGCAAAGAGGAAATAAATTAAATCACAGTGATCAGAACAGGTTAACATTTTCATGCCATAGAGGCTTAAGGGTTTGCTTCCTGGCTCATTTTTGTGATTTTGGCCTATCAATGTAAGATTTAAACAACTGGAACAACTGAATTTCCATACAAAAATCTGTTTCGCTTGTGTCACAACATCACAAACAAATTGAACTGCTCAGTTTCAAAGCTCCAAAAAACATTACATACTGTACATTTTTAATGTGAGCACCTACTCAATGGAATAATCTTAAGTATTGCAAAATAGAACAAGGGTCTTCATGGTATCACAAAGGTTGATAGAATATCACAAGGGTCACATGAATTNTCTACTTTTTATAATAACTGCTTTATATTGATTAAACCAACTTGAGGTTTGACTCTGTTACAGATGGCAGGCAGGCTCCCATTTGATTTCACACTCACAAGCGGTAAAGCTACCAAATTGAGCCGACAGGTGAAGCCAGCTGCTCTGGTGGGAAGAAGTGATTTTGTTCTTATTGGTGCAAATTTTGCATTTCCACTCTGGGAAAATTCACAGTTAAAGTTAACAGTCCAGATCTAATCACTTCTGGTTTAACTTCAAACGAAGTTACTGCCAAGGCAAAGAGGAAATAAATTAAATCACAGTGATCAGAACAGGTTAACATTTCAAACTACTTCACTACTGTACATTTTTAATGTGAGCACCTACTCAATGGAATAATCTTAAGTATTGCAAAATAGAACAAGGGTCTTCATGGTATCACAAAGGTTGATAGAATATCACAAGGGTCACATGAATTCAAAGAGGATTATGACAGCATACAATGTATCACAAGGTAACACACAATATCTTTTACAAAGCTGCTACATCCTTATACAAGATCATCTAAGTCAACTCTCCTGGATTATTTGGGAGTTTCCCGGATACAGTGCAAATCTACTGGTCTCCTAAAGGTCACCAAATCTCTAAGATACATTAGAAAGCTCTCAAAGTACATTTTTCACACTTATGTTGGCCAATTTTTGGCATTTTCAGGGTGAATTTTTGGAAAATTCACGTATTTTTAATTCACATTTTTTTTTAGGGTTGAGAATTTAAAATTCACAATCTACCACATTTCATTTTTTTTAAGGTTGGCATCTTGGAAAATGGATTTCAAAGGGAAAGGTTTCATTATCACAGTGTGTGGACAAAGAAGAAGAATGACAACAACAGCCATTTTTGTGCAAAAATGAAGGAAGTGTTTGAAGTGAGTTGCACGTTGAACAAAGTCTGTCTTCTTAACTTTACTTTGATATATTCAACATCTAGGCCACCTGTGATATAACATGGAAGGATATTTTGACCAGAAGTTGCTTGGAAACATAACGTAAAGATAGAACACAATACCAGGTGTACTTGTTCACTAATTTCACTATCATTTAAAGCAAACATTTTTGTTTCTAAATACCACACAAAGTCTTACATTTTTTTCACAATAAAACCAAGTGCAATACGGTGTGATACCTTGTGATAATGTGTGATGTTCTGGTGATGCCCATGTGCTGACAAAGCTTTATTTTTGGCTCATTGTTGCTCTACCCAAAAATATTGTGATACTGTGAAACCTTGTGAGAGTCACAAATATTACAAAAACAATCTTTTTGTTGCCAAATCGAGCATTACTCTTAAGTGGAAACATGAGCCTGCCTATGGGTTTGACAGTGGCAAGAGTAAGGGTTAAAGACCTGTCAAGAGTGGAGCCAAATACAGAACACAAAACTAAGTTATATGCATGGTACATCAATATCTGAAATTATACATTGGCCTCAATGTGTGAAGTCACTGAATTGTACAAAAATACCACTCAGAATTTTAAGGTACAAGTTACTACATTCCCTTCATCAATCATGTACAAGTGTGCAATACAAAACCAACAGCTGGATTCCATGCTGTACACAACATATCGTACGCTAAACGTTTTCATAATATAAGTAACTTGAACATATGTGTTTTTGGTTTTTACAAAAGTGGAATATGCAAACGTAAGCATGTAGAGTTGAAATCTTTTCACGTAACTATCCTTCTACGTTTAGCGTGGAATAAGTAAATTCCTCCAGCAAAAATGACAATCATCACTCAATTACACTACTTAATAGAAAGGAGAAAACCAAAATTTACAAGGGAAATTGTTAATTTAAATGCTTATTTATAAGCGACATAAGAAGTTATTCAATATTTCAACCGGTAAACATCGACAAGGTACAAGAAGTATTTCACTCCCGTCTCTTGCAATCGCATATGGAAAACTTGAAAAAAAACTTACCTAAAGTACAGCGTCCTTATAAGCTGATGGGCTTCATAGTATTCTCCATCCTCTATCGACTTATTTAGTTTCTGCAGAACACGCTGAGTTCCGCCGCTTCGCGTTTTGGCCGCCATCTTGAATTTAATTCCCTTCTCCACAGTCCTTTGCGCGCGTGAGAAGAGGAATTACCATGTTGCATAGCAAGCGATTGTAACCAGGAACGCCTGGGAGAAATTAGCTTTTTGTCGATGGCGACGCGTACGAAGACTTTGTGCTCTTTAGACACTGGTTATTACGCAGATACTGTGGAGTGGTGCCCTGTCGAAAGTTTTCAAGACTACCTTGTTTGCGGAACTTATCAACTTTTCGAGAAAAACGACGAGCATAACGAATCTACGCCATGTCCTGAAGAATGTTCAAGCACTGGTAACGAACGACTAGGCAATGTACAACTGTATTGTCTCGA